TAGTGCACTAACCATTAGGCCAACACATGTCTACATTAAGTAAACATGGTCTTTTATGGTAGCATTTAATGGCAAAGTTTTCATAGGCCCTATGGGGTTTTGTGGGCTGCTGACTAGAAACCTGGTCACTTACAAGTGATCACAAGACTGGAAAACTTCAACTATAACTGTAAAATCATGATTGTGCTCTTTGAAAGTGCAAAACTCTCATTTTCATCATGACAGCAAAATGAACCACAATAACAAATAAATACTAATTACTCACAAAATCTCAATAAATATTCCCCTTGTAAATTTTACATCATTCTCATCACTGAGGTTTAGGATTACATCTATGAAAGAACTAATTAAATGAGTGACATGCTTATCATTTATGGTTCAGAATTGAGTGGGGCACAAAATCTCATTTAAATATTCATAGTTAAATTAAGGTGTTATTCTTACTAACAAACTCTGCTCCCAGCTGGGTTTGTTTCTCCCCGCCCCTCTCACATATCAGGGGCCTAGTATTTAACAAATGATTCTATGTGGCCTTGCATCTGTTCAGTAATAATTATTGATCACAGATGACCTTAAAATGTGGTAAAAACAGCAGACTACACTCTGGTTAGCCTGAATAGTGTTCCACTTAGGCTAAGCAATGCTGAGTCAGCCTATGTGTGGTTATCATTAGCTCTTAATAATGTTAATTTAATTTGGTAACAGAATCATATTAATTTTAAAAGATCTGCTATCCGCAAATCTCATGTATATCATTTAATTATATATTAAATTAATTGGTAGTGCATTAAAAACTTAGAATATTGAAGAAGATAAATTAAACTCCTGCCCAATAAATACACCCCTTGGGTTTCAGAAACTAACACCCTCCTTACTCTGTACAGTAATGCTGGTCTCCACAATTAAAGAAATATTTAAGACTTGATTTCTCCTTGCTCTACATATTAAGCATCACACTATCAGGGTTGGGAAAAACCCAGGACTGATTGCCCTGGGCAAGTGCTGTAAATTTTGCTCTTGGGAGAATGAAAAGGGAAGTTTGGTGGTCCAGTGGGCAAGTGAAATTAGCCTCAGTAGTCTTGTTAGTTTATAAGGAATGAACATTGTGCACCTAATGGGCAAGTAATATTTTACTAGAGGCGACTGAAAACTGAAGTGCACTGGCCCACTGGGCAAGTGGATTTTTCCTGCCCTGACCATGATACTTAACTATAAGTATATGACATTATATTGTTGAAATGTTCATCAGACGACTGCAGAATGTGTTTTAACTTTGTTTTCCATTACGTTACCGTTAAGCTAAATGTTACTTTGAAGATATTGCAACCCGGAGAAGCTGAAAGAAAATAATAATAAATTTAGGACATTAATTAATTAGCAAAATTAATAAATTACTAACCATATATTACTGCATTTTGTTGTGCGAGGCTAACCATAATACCAGCTGTTCACAGAAGAGTCTTCCTTGTAGTAAAATACACTGTCTAAATTAGCACTGAATGTGGTTTAAATATCTCTCTTGGGGTCCTACTCGAGAAAATCTCAAAATTATTTGGACGCAGGGCCTTGCGGAATAGCTGAGATGAGCATGTCAATCTCTATATTAACAGGAGGCTGAAGCAGCATTGCTGTTACAGGAAACATTCAGAATTCAAACTATATTAAGCAATTTGATTATGAGCTCGAGATTTCTATCACGTGATAGTTGGCGAAAGCACAGTCCAAGTCAGCTATCATGCATAGAAATCGAGAGTGAATAATCTAATTGTTTTAGAATAAATCTACAAGTTGTTCAAAACTTTATCTAAATCCTCTTTATAAACACTTTGAAAATGCCTAGAAGTGGTCATCATTTAGCTCACAAGGGCACACTGTTACGCTACTCACTTTCTATCACAGAATTGATAGTGAGTAGCCAAGCCAATCATAGAACAACATTTGCGATAAAACGCCAGTAGATTTATACTAATATTCAATAGCTAGACTGCTGCCAACATCTGACTGTCCTCCCCCCCCCCCNCCCTTTTCTGGGTGCTGTTATCCCCACCATCTACCTCCACAGAATAACATTGCTAAATGTACTTGTTAACTGTGAGAGCCTGGGTACATTAGCTTCATTCAAAACCTGCAATATTGCAGTTGGGTAATGCATACACATTTGATTGATCATCCCCTGAAGGGAACTCCAGGAAAATACAATTCTTTTTTTTTTTTGAGACTTACAGACGATTTAAATGAAGATGTTTTTCCTAGAGGTGAGAAAAACAACACCCCAAGCACTGATTCAACAGTTTTAACCTGTAGCTCTAGGGTTAAGGATTGCTCATCTCATATTTTACATGTATGCACCCCAAAATGTGGAAATATTTTATGCTGCCTTGCTATGCCAGCGTAACTGTAATAGAAAGAACATTACTGTAGATAACATTCTGTATTTTAATGGTCACCAGACAACATGAGTGGCTGTGAGAATACAGTGGAACCCGACCATACGAACACACCATTAAAATGACCACCCCTTTATTACAGAAAATGTTTTATACCCTTAGCAAAAGCCCACACATTCTCCTATCTGAAAACCCCATTAATCTGACCACCTTCTTATTATGACTGGCCACGTTTTGGAGTTCTCAGTCCTTATTTTCTTTTTTAATTTACCCCACTAAAATGACCAGCTAAATTGACTGGTGAGGAAGCTGAATGAAAACAGAAATAATCTCAGAAATAACGGCTCTTACGGACATTTCACAAGAGGCCATATCCTGTTGAAGAACTGAAAGATGTCATTGTTTTTTTGCATTACATGACTACTTGGTTTTGTTCAGTTGCAATGAATTGCTGTTGTAAGGTTGAAGAATAATATTATTGTAAAAAGGTTGATTTAGAGCAGGATTAAAGGTATTCATGTGCAGTACATGTTTAAAGGGTGTTTCATTATGTGACCCTACCTCATCAATACGACCACCCCATTAACATGACCAATTTTCCATGGCCTGAAGGTGGTCATATTAATCGGGTTCCACTGCAATAAAATGTACATGTAACCCACCTGGTTTGACCACCTTCAGGAAATTGATTTTTATAAAGAAATTTAGTTCAAAAGATTTGCCTGCCTGTGAAAACTAAAATAATATTGCCTCATGCTGAAAACTTAATTAAAAAATCCTTGCTAATTACAGGTGGTAGGACTTTGAGGAGAGTTCTTTTTGGATCAAATCCATCTTAATAATTTATTGAAAGTATTTTTCTGTTCTCAATTATTAACAAAATAGTGAGACAAAACTTACCAAACAAAAGAATCAATACTTTATCACCTCGATATCCATCTGGTAAACATTTTTTCCTTCTTCCATTTCAACATGATGCGTGGTATCATTCAAATAATCTCCTTTCCTTATCCAGGAGTGAACATCAGCTTTCCATCCCACGTTCAGCACGGCAGAAACACTGTAATCGACGTGAATGGGAGAAGGCTTTGGGCATTTTATGCTGTACATTA